CTCTGTGGGCACATTGCTATGCCCTTCCCTTCCCCCCCCCCCAACCCCCCCCCCGAGAATATTTTAATATGGCTTCATTCCAAGAGATTTGATCTTTAAAGTTGGGCTTCAGATTTCTGAATTATCAGTAAACTAGTTTACTGACTGTAGAATTCTTCTTAAGTTTATCTGGATCTAGTCCCTTGGTTTGTTAGAACACATTTGTCCATTCTTGTTCACGAGATCATTTTTCCTGTGTTGGATGAGCACTCTGTACTAGGCCTTTTGGGAAGCTCTGGGAATAACAGTAGTCATTCACAGTCCAGTTCTTAAGCCTTCGGTGTATACCAGGGGCCAGCAAGTTTTGTTGCTTTTATTTTGCTTTATTTTTTGTTTTAAAGGCCCAGATAGCAAGTACATTCAGGCCCTGTAGACTTTGTTGCAATTATTCAGCTTGTTTTGGTAGCATAAATGCAGCCACAGAACATATGTAAATGAATGGGTATGCTGTCTGCCAGTATAATTTTATTGACAGAGTTAGACTATGAGCTGGATTAGGCTGAAGGTCATAGTTTTTCGACCTCTGTTCTAGTAGATCCTTAAGAAAAAAAAGAAAAATTCAGTGAGAAGGACCTAGGATGGATACAGCACTGGATTCTGTGCAACATATGGAAAGAGGAATCTGACCCTTATGGGCTCCAGGCATGGCCATGCAGGCCACCTGAGATGGTGGTGCTTCACTAAGATTAGAAGGTGTGTAGAAATAACCAGCAGAGGAGGAAGAAATTGCAGGGAAGGCATTCCCGTGTGTGAAGAGCAAAGTGTTCTAGGGAGAGAAAACACGAGAGGGGTGGAGAGCTGTTCTTTCTCCGCCAGTGGCCATTTGGATATGATAACATCATTTGAGGGCCATACAAAATGATCAATACAGGCAAGCAGACCTCAAGAAGCCAACCAAATGATTTCAGGGGTCTGAGGACCAAATGTTCCCCCCACTTCTACCTAGTGGCCTGGCTGATAATAATGAAAGACTCAAGGAAAAGGTGAGAAGACATCTTCAGCTATAAGAATCAACATGTTCTACATCGTTAAGGATTATTACTCAATGACAGCTGGAACTGAAGCCCTCCTCCATGAAAATAATACACAGTTTCAAGGCTTAAATAATTACATAGATACAGAGCTTTACATTCATGAAAATGACTGGACCAAAGAAACTGTAATGGGCTGAGTGGCTTCCTAAAATGAAGTCACTGAACAAAAGTCTGGGAGCATGAGCTTAGAGATAAAGGCCAGCCAGCCATGAGGGCAATTCAGCCTGCTCCCAAGAGCTTTCTCCACCAGGATAAGATGTCTGCCTCTTCCTAGGACTGCCATGTTTTATATGCAAAGTTTTGTTTTCATCTGCTATTCTTCTTAACGACCTCCACTCTCACCACAATATTCTCGCCACCTCTGGGTGCCCGTAGGGGGTCCTAATGTAAAGAGAAAGGCTGGAAGAATGTCTTCTGCTTTACAGTTGGTCCCAGATGGGTGAAGGTTAGATTTAGGGTTTGTCAACCTGAAGATGATGTAAAAGCAATAGACAAGCCTTCTGTCTTTCCCTTTCAGTGATGATCCCCCACAAATTACATGAGACAGTTGACACTGGATATGAGACAGGCTTTGTGTTCGTTGCCCAATTGTAGGCTAATATAATATTGTTCTGTGCATGTTTGAGGTAGTAGGTTGGGCTCAGCTTTGATGAGGGTCAGTAGATTTAGGTATATTTTCAACTTAAGGGAAGTATTAGGCTGTGACTCCACCCCTAGATGCTGGGGTACATCTGCACTCCTTATGACTAACCATAGAGTTAAAAGAGAGTAGTATCTTGGACTCTAAATGTATTCTAGGAGTACAGAGACCAGGATGGGAAAAGATGCTGGCTAGAGAAACATGGACCTGAGAGAGGGTGATCTTAACATAATCTGTGAAGTGTGTGAATATGCTTTTGATAGGAGGCAGAGGCCTTAGCCCTTCCCTTCTATGATCACCCTTTACCAAAAGTTCTGCTGAACCAACACTAATTGGTGACATTGGCCAGTTCTTGGAGGAACCAGGCCATTCTCCAGCGGTGTCAGCAGAGACTGGGCTGTGGACCATGACCCTAGAATTCATGCACACTTGGATTAGATATCAGAAAACAGAACTTGAGAATCAAAATACCTTGTTTATTGTCTTACACTAATCCCTTGTTTTAAAATTTATATTTTTGTGCCATATTGTATTGGTCTCAATATTTTTCTTGTTGAGTCATATGAAGTCCTTTGTACTTTGATATAAATACTTGTACACTTTAGTGTTTTACTAGACTGATTTTTTAAAATTTTTATTGTTAAGATGTTGTACGGAGGGGTTACAGTTACATGAGTAAGGCAATGAGTACATTACTTGTTGATCATTGTTACCCCTTCCCTTCCTTGTTGTTGTTCTACTATCCTTTCCCTCCCCCTGATTCTTTTTTTTTTGACAAAGAAACTTAAATATTTTAAGCAAGGAATTTTTTTTTATCTTTTCTTTGGTAAGTTTTTAATATTCCTCTTAGAAAATCTTTCCCCATCCGTTTGTCAGAGAAATACTAAATATTCACGTTCATTGAGAACACTTTTTTTGCATTTAAATTTGAACTTACCTTGAAATCGTTTTTAGTATATAAAGATTTATCTTCCTTCCAAAAAATAGTTAACATCAGGAGCCTAATTATAGTGGGTATTTCCTATCCAGATGTTAAGCTAGGGAAGCCATAAGAGAGTGAAGACATGGCCCTGTCCCTTGGCAAACAAATGTGGGCACTGACACCTGACTGCAGACACCCCCTCACTGTGCCCCAAAGGATGACTCACCATTTCCTCCTGAAATGACCTATTGGCTCACAGCTCAGAACTAACCACCTTCCTTTCTTTGGTTGGATTTTAGCCACTCTATTAGTGAGCACAGTAAACTTACATGCTCTCCTGACACACTGCTGACCCTGTCTGGAGCCACAGCAGCTACATGAAGTCATGCTCAAAACTGAGCGTTAATGAATCAGCCGACTTACGTCTTGGGGTCTGGAGTCAAGTCTGAGATGTTTAAGGCCTATGGTTCAAATTTGAGATTTTCTGTTTAGCAAAAGTCAAGGAAAAGCCTGGGGAGAGAAGAAGTATGAAGAAGAGGAAGAAGAGGAGGATGGTGGTGGTCCAAGATCCGCTGACATTTTGACCCAGTGAAATAGATTATTGGAGATAATATGCATGTCTTTGAAGTTCTTCTTAAGATTGTGTGGTCGTTTGGGGAGTCCAGCACATTGGCAGCAGCAGGAAGGATTGGTTCCTCAGCAGGTATCATGTGAAAGGAAGCACTCCTGTGCCTGGCATTTGGCTTAATGAAAAACATGTACTTCACCACCTAGGCTTGATGCAGACCCCACGTAAACTCTCCTTGACAACAGTGCAGTGAGCCTTCAAGAGGAAGGAATGCCCGTCATGTGACAACCTGTTATGTTCAGTAAAAGAATCGAGGTGTAGAAAGATGCCACATGATCCCACTTATATGATGGATCTAAGGGTAGTGATCTCTTAGGAGTTGCTAAAAAAATAGCATGGTCATGACCAAGGGCTGGGGCCAGGAGATGTTGGTGAAAGGGTAAAAACTATCATCAGTTAAATAGGATAATTAAGTTCAGGAAATCCATTGAACACCATGGCAATTCCAGTGAATAACAATGTATACTTGAAATTGCTGAGCTGGGAATGTATTTCAGCAGAAGAGCATTTACCCTAGTACACACGAGGTGCTGGGTTGGATCCCTAACTCCTCAAAAAAATAAATAAAAATTGCTAAGAGAATCTGGGTACCACTGGCTCATGCCTGTCATCTTTGCTATTCAGGAGGCTGAGATCTGAGGATCATGGTTCAAAGTCAGCCTAGGCAGAAAAGTCTGTGAGACTTTTTATCTCCAGTTGACCACAAAAAACCCAAAGTGACTCAAGTGGTAGAGTACTAGTCTTGAGCACAAAAGCTCAGGTCAGCGACCAGGCCCATAGTTCAAGCCCCAGGACTGACCAAAAATAAAATTGCTAAAAGAGTAGGTTGTAAGTGTTCTCACTGGGAAAAAAATGTACATGAGGTAATGGATATTTAATTGTCCATTAAAAATAAGAAAAATAAATTGGTGACCACCGGGCAGTAGAGGACTCATGATTATCATTCATAGTGGAATGTTTTTCCTACCAAGGAGACAGACTTACAAGAGGAGCCCCTTATAGATGACATCAAAGCAGAGCCAAATGCCAACGACATAAAATTCCTTCATCAAGGTTCTTGTATATCACTGTCTGGAACCCTAAAGGCTTTGAACACAAAAGTGACTTGTGTTGTTTATTTTCCTTGAGTTATATGCACTGGACATTCCCCGAGAGCCAAAATGCACCCTGAGGAAGTAGTAGAGCATGTGTGTCTTTGACAGTTTTATGAAAGAGCCTGAAAAGAGAAAGAGCTATTGAGAACGGTGGTTAACATTACTTATGGGTAATATATGCATAAACCTTTATGAAAGGATGCTAGATGCCCAGCATGGCTACATTGCAGAGATCACAGGACATAAAACCATGAAACCAGTATAATGGTGTGGTCTGTTCACATGAGTACTTGAGTTCCTTTTAGATGTGTTAACTTTAGAAGAATGGAAGCTATTGCTATTCCTGTCATGTGGTTCTAGTGGACCTGGTAGTTATTTATTATGAGACTTTTCCTCCATATTTAGATCTGTTGCAGATCTGTTCAGAGTAGTAAGCAACCTTTCTGGAACATTACCCCAGTCATTGTTTCCCTGCAAACGCAAAAAGAAGCCTTTTCCCTGAGTTGGCCCAGCAAGGGAAGGAACACAGACTAGGGAGCTCCCCCAGGTCTGTGATGGTGTGCCAGTCCCATTGGTGATGGAGCGAGGTTTTACTGTTAAATTGGATCATCTAAACATTGGTGTTTTGTTCTTTTCCTTTTAGGAAAAACTATGTCTGCCCCATCACATCCTGGAAGAGAAAGGCCTGGTCAAAGTGGGCATCACCGTCCAAGCATTACTCGATGTCACCACTGTCACCAAGGCTCTGTTCACATGAGACCAACCTTCTCCTCTGAGTTGACTCAGACTCTTCCTCCATCAGGGATCCTGGACTGGGCTCCTGGTATCCATTGCTTCCTCTTCCCCACTCTCCGCCTGTCACTTCCTGACTAGTTGCATGGACAAGGTTTTCAGCCAAAGGGAGGATTTTCCCCCCTTTCAGAGCTGACCTTGGCTTCCAAGGCTGAGACTTGACAGGGATTCATCTGGAAGCCAGAGGGGGGAGGCTGGTGGATAACTAAGTTAGCACATCATTGCCTTTTTCAACCTCCTACATCCCTTCCACACTCACCAACTGCCATTACCAAAACAATGCCAAGCACAACTGTTACACAGCAAGATGCATCTGTTTTATTAAAGCCAAACTTGTTACAGATTGAGTGGGGGGAGGGGGGCGGGAGGAGGAGACACAATCAGGTTTTTATTCACCACCAAATTCGTCAAGATGTTTCTTGAGACCATTGCCTTTTCAAAAGCTATTTTCGACATACAAAATATTTATATAAATATTATTTATTAGTGAGTTGTTATTCATCCTTTGGATGCAAATTGTAAATTAGGAAACTATTTTATTACTGCTTTTTTGTGGTTAAACACTTTATTTTAATATTATAAATATTGAGTTATTTTCTATCTTCTTTGGTGTGTAGTAGTTGTAGCAGTAATCATGTTCCCTGGTGTCTGTAACTCAGAGAAGAAAAAGTGAAGCAAAAAGCAAAACAAAAACCAGGTGCTTCTATTACAAAGAACTGTTTTCGGGGGAGGCATTCTTTATACTTTGGTTTGTGGAACATTGGTCTTATTTATATTTTTGCATTCCATGCAGTTGCCTACATTCCAGCAGCCTTGTTGTCCCCCCATGTAATGAACTGACTGAAATCAAGAGAGCACCCCAAAGTTATTTGTAAATAGCTGTGATGGGAAAAAAAGACATATTAAACTTGAAGAAAAAAAATGTGAACAATTACTATTTTTTTTGATTTATAACTTCTTTTGCTATGCACAAAACATTCAACTTGTAACACCAAGAAGTAAGCAGTGTTAACATGATGAGTCTCCAAGCATGATGTTGCACTGTAACTTGGGTAATTAAAGAGAGTCTGGTACCAAAGGTAGATAATGAGGAAAAGGTATGGGAAAGTGGAAGTGAGTGAAAGTTGTTTTAAGGGAAATTTGGGCTGAATGGTCAAAAATGGCTTTAGGCATGGAAGACGTGGGTCAGTACTGCCAGTTGTGAGAGGAGGAAATGATGCTGAGAAGCAGATGTGCCTGTTGGTTAGAGTTTAGTTGGTGGTTTTGCACAGTAGTTTCACCAACACTGCAAGATTCATGACTTCTGGGGTGCAACCTCAGAAGTGAGTAATTCATCTGTGAGCTGATGGGCAGCTCCAGCCCCCTACCCCCACCCCAGATCAGCATCAAAAAAGGACACGTAAGTAGAGTATGTGAGGCTGAATGGCCAGGGAGGGAACAAGGTTAAACACTACAGGACTTAAGAAGACCTAGCCAAGGGGAGGAACCGTCCATGTGGGTCTGGGAATTTTCCCAGAAGGCATAGCAACTCATACTGGGCAGTAACACACCTGTATATGTGCTACAGTGACAGATAGCTCAGCCATTCATCTTTCAAAGTCCTGTTAGTGCTGACTGTACTTTCACTGCTGAAAAGCCATAGGAAGCAGCAGTAGCCACCAAGAGTCAACATGAAGGTGAATGCAGAAGAGAAGACATGAGGAAGACGTGCACATTGACACCAACATCCATCAGCCAATGCCTTGGAAACTTAGATTGGCAGCTAGCAATTATTTCCTATCAAATGTACTGTGCACTTTAACCTAACTTAAGTATATTAGAATATTTTCCTGTATTGTCAAATCCTTTAAGAATGTAAAGACAAAAGGCATTTTGAAAGAAGAGTGTATACAATGGAAGCAACCTTCAGAAGTCAGTTCTATAAATAAGAATTTAGACTGCTGGCTGTACCTTCCTGGGCATTCTGATTAAAGTGTCCGGAAATATTTTTTATATGTATATATTGGCAACCAGAGGCTCTGTAATCATTGTTTTCAGAGATCTTTCTTTCAAAATTAAACTGTTTCTTTTGATACTCATTTTCAGTACTTTCTTGAAGTTGGCTGTATAATACAAATGGTTTTGGTAGTGTGTAAAATGGCTTTTCTTTTCATTGCAATTCTTTTACAGCTAAGATGTCTTTATGATCCTTGTACACTGTTTATATGTGCAATAAAATGTGCATGGCTGGCAGACTGTACCATAAGCAGGCAGAATGTATATAGTGCTACGTCCTTCCTTTTATTTAACAGCCATTAAAACTTTGAATTTGTACAAATCATCTTCTGACTCACCCATCTGATGTAAAGGCTGGTTGGCACTCATCCCATACAAAAACTTAGGACGTTATTGCTGAAAGAGATTGTGTGTGTGTGTGTGTGTGTGTGTGTGTGTGTGTGTGTGTGCAGGAACTATATACTATATATAATAGTGGAAAGTGTATATATGTAAATAAAACTATCGATATATGTATACACACACACACACATTCCCCTTCTCCCACATGCACAATAGCTCTTCTCCAAGGTTTTGTTTTTCATGATTTGTTATTCATGGTCTTCCCCAGTCCAAAACTACCGGTAATAGTCTTGGTCTGGTTTGGTTTTATGTGCTGGTACTAGTGCTTGAAGTCAGGGCCAGGTACTCTTGCTTGGCGTTTTTATTCAAGGCTGCACTCTTCCACTTGAGTCACACCTCCACTTCCAGCTTTTTCCTGGTTAATCAGTCATCAGGGTATCATGAATTTGTCTCCCTGGACTGGCTTCAAATTGTGATCTTCAGATCTCAGCCTTTTGAGTAGCTAAGAATACAGGCATGAGCTACCAGTGTCTGGCTTTGATTGCATTGAGAGACTACATTCCTTCACATTTCTCTATGACTGCTATTTGAATTTATTGTTAGAATTATTGTTAGTCTCTTCATGTAATTTATAAATTAGAATATGTATATACTAATATATCAATGATAATCTAATCATATGATATTCTAATCTATATCTGTCTATCTATGATTCAGTACTACCCGCAGTTTCAAGTATTTGCTGGGAACAGATTCCTCATGGATAAGGGAGTGCTACCCATGCATGTGTGTGCACACGTGTGTGTGTGTGTGTGTGCACACAATTATCCTTTTCTCCCAAACTTCACCTTCCCTGGAAGCTTACAACATGCATATAGCAGAAGCAAACTTGCTATGCTGAGATTGGGGCAGGGATGGAAGTGGAGATTGAGGATTCCCATGTATCCCACGGTCATACTTCCAGACACATCTTGGAGGATGCCTTAGTTCCTTAGTTCATGCTTAAAAATCGTAGCATCGGGTCCTCACACCTCAATTGCTCTCACGGAATGGAACACAGCTGCCTCCACTATGCCTACCTCAGCTAAGCCAGGGTCTTCCCTCCACATGCATTCATCCTTTGGTAAAAGAGCAGCTGCTGTGAGAAACTTGTGTCAAAACACTTAGCAGCAATGGTTTCCATCTTTTTGCCCCTTCTTACATATGACACAGAGACTCAGGACCACTGGCCTGAGCAGGGACCAGTGCCAGGTCTTCTGTATTAAAGATATGCATCCAACTAGTCTAAAACATTTGTTTATGGATTGTGGTGCTTTGATCTGAGATGTTGCTTCTGTGGCACACCCTACAATCATCTTCCTTCTGCATTAAAGCAGCCCAGGCATTTCCCTTCCTAAATGGCTGGGGCAAGGAGGAAGGGTACAAGGGGAAGGGGAGGAATAGTTGAAGGACAGGAACACAGGATCCTCATGGGGCAAGTATCTGGTCCATCAAACAGTTGAACCATGCTATTAGCAACAGCTAGGGACAGCCTAAATTTGCCCTGGGTGAAGTTGCAATAATCCCTAGCCTTCCATCTTCCCCAGGAAGTCAGCACATACACATTCCAGTCAAGTCTGGGTCTCACCTGGTCTGAAGGCAGGGAATTTTCTTCAGAACAGGCACTCCTTGAGTGTGGAGAGCTGTGAAAGGCAGGGCTCCACTCCAAGCCACGCCCTTCCCCCTCCCAACCCCGGCCCTGTGCTCCCTGTACCAGTATTTTCTCCTTTTTCCCCCCTGCAGTTGTCATGTGTGCCTTATTAGAGCAAGGTTGCCCATTTGCTTTGTTCTCTTGCTGACTGCCAGATGTCCTTAATACTGTTGGCATATAGCAGGTACTGAAGAGAAGCCAGCTAGAACAAAGGTAAGAGATTATAATGTATACCTCTGAAATTCCCCATAGTTCACCAGCACATGGTCCTGGGAGTCACCCCTGCCTCACAGTTGATTTTCCTTACATTTGACCAGTAAATCTCTTCCTCAAAACTATAGTTTGACAAGTTTTTCTCCAAGGTGGATGCGTTGGAAATTTAATCCCATGTGTAGAGTGTTAGGTCAGTGGTGAAGACATTGTCCTGAATAGGGTAATTGGTTTATTGCAGGATGGTGTGAGTTCCTTCCAAAGAATGAGTTCACACCTTTCTTTTCTCTCCCATGCAGTCTCTTGTCACCATTCAGTAGTGCCTTATGCAGCAAGGAGTCCTACACCTGATCCAGCCCCTCAATCTTGAGATTAGGTGAGGTCTATTGGGAGGAAGTGAAGGGGGGGTGTTCTTGAAGTAGATATGAGAGCTGGCCTTCCTCTTCCTCTCTTTTGGATCCCTAACACCATGAAATAAGCAGCTTCCTCTCCCCTGTACTCCTCTCCTCCATGATGTTCTTCTTTCTTTCCCCAGGCTCAAAAGCAATGCCTGGGCTGGGAAGGTGGCTCAGTGGTAGAGTGCTTGCCTTGCATGCATGAGGCCCCGGGGTTGATTCCTCAGGACCACATAAGCAGAAAAAGCTGGAAGTGGCACTGTGGCTCAAGTGGTAGAGCTCTGGCCTTGAGCTGAAAAGCTGAGGGACAGCATCCAGGCCCAGAGTTCAGGGCTATGACCAAAAAAAAAAAAAAAGCAATGCCCACCCTCCCTCCATCCCCCCAACTGTGGATTGAAACCATGAGCCAGAATGTTTAACTTTTCCTCTTTCAAGTTGATATACCAGGTATTGTTTTCTTTTGTCACAGTAATGGAAAGCTAACACACCTAGCAAACATTCTTGCTTAGCAACACGGCACACTAGAGCACATCAGTAGTTTCCCCTTATACTCACAGGGCTGACTGAGGTGTGCAGTTATTCTGTGGTGGGGCATTATGAGATCATGCTGCTTATCACTGGCCCAGGAAAAGAGCCACCTTCAAAATTCAAAATATGTTTTCTTACATGATGCCTATTGCTTTCATTATCATTGTAAACTTGGAAAATTGTAACTCAAACTAGTATATGTTGAACTCTGTGTAGCTAAGAAATGAGTTACTGATATTCATTCTGGAAGGCCTGGTCTAGTTTGCTTTGTCTAATTGAAACACGAGGTGGCAGTGTTTTACTGAAATGGTTTTGGAAGAAACCTAAGAGCACACTTGAAGAATTTGGAGCTCAATAGCATGAGTATAGTTAGTCACTAACATCTGAGAGGTGACAATTTCACCTGGGCATCTTCTTTTGCTGCATTTCACAGCCCTGGAGGTTAAATGCTGTAAGATTCTTGTTTACTCCATTTTTAGATAAGGACTCAGCCATAGACTAATTAAACGGATCTGCTCAAAGCACCTTTTGGAAGCAGACCCTGTCTATCTTGTTTTCTTCTCAAGTGTCTCTCATGCAGTATAATCTACAAAAAATTCCATCAGAAACATTATGACTCAGCACTTAACTTCTCAGGAGTATAAGCAAACTAAAAAGCATGAAGTTGTGTGACTGGCCCTTAGCATAGAAGTTGTAAGCACAGTCTTTTCTTTCTGATTTTAAAGATTTACTAAGCATTAATGTTCAAACATAGCATTTTACAATTCAAAAGATACACAAATGATTTGCTTATTAAAAGACATTATCCATTAGAAGTCAAGCCTCTTTGACTCCTGTCCTCTATTGTGATGCATTCCTTTTCTTTTCCATTAAGTAACTGCCTTGACTTCCAGCTGGATACTTTCCTGTGAAATACATTATGGTTTGAATGCACAATGTCACCCATAAGTTCATGTGCTAAGTGCTCGGCCCGCAGTTAGTGGCACTATTTCTTTTATTGTAGTTATTAAGTAGCTATACAAAGGGGTTACAATTCCCTAAGTCAGCTAGAGTACAATGCTTCCTCGTCAATGTCACACTTTTCTTCCTTCTCCCTCATTTCCATCCTCTTGACTCTACATAGCCTCAAGTTACATAGTTCTATTTTTACATACTGTAAATTGAACATAATTACAATTTACTAACCTTTCCCACTCCTCAAAACATGTTGGGGGTACTCTTTTGAGAGCTTGAGAAAACCTGGAGGTGGACCAAGCTGGAGAAAGTTGATTGATTACTGGAGCTACATCTTGCTCTGTTTGCCATGAAGCAAATGGCCTCTGCCACATGTTCCTACCACCAAGATGTACTATCTCACTAAGTCCCCAAATTATGGTGCCAAGAGACAACAGACTGAACTCTTTGAATGTGTAAGCCATGTTGCTTCTTCCAGGTATTTGGCCACACTGATGAGGATTAGCACAGAAAACTAGTACCAGAGAAGTGGAGTTGTTGCTGTGACAAAATCTGATCATGTCAAAAAAAAATCCCATTAATAAGAAAGACCTCTCTGAAAAAGAAATGCAAATCAAAACATTGAGATTCCTCCTCACTCCAGTTAGAATGGCCATTATCAAGAAAACTAATAACAGATGGTGGTGGGGATGTAAACTTGTTCAACCATTCTGGAAAGCATTATTGAGGTTCCTTAAAAGCCTAAACATAGAACTCCCCTATGACCCAGAAATCCCACTCCTGGGCATTTACCCAAATGACCATAAACAAGGTCATACTAAAGCTACCAGCCCAACCATGTTCATTGCAGTATTATCTACCATAGCTAAGATATGGAATCAACCCAGATGCCCTTTAGTTGGTGAATGGATCAAGAAACTATGGTATATGTCAATGGAATTCTATGCTTCCATCAGAAAGAATTACATTGCCCCATTCATAAGGAAATGGAAAGTCTTGGAAAAAAATATTAAGCAAAGCAAACCAGACCCAAAGAAACATAGGCTGTATGGTTTCCCTCATTTGTAGTAACTAGACTATGTCTAGGATATTCTTAGCAGAGGAGCACAATGGCTCAACACCTATGTGCACTTGACTATATAAAATGATGTTTATCAAAATGAACTCTAAGAAGTGGAAACAAGGGTTTCTCCCCCTTGTGTGTGT